TATCAAGCCAAAGTTCTCAAAGAAGCTACTACAAGTAGAAGGTTCTAACAATGAGGAATATGGGCCATCGAATAACAAGAGATTGGGCCTGAAGATCAGTCAACAACCCATTAAGTTCTTTGACCAAAATGCAGAGCACAAAGGTCTCGAAACTTCCTCCTCTCCAACGGTACGGTTGAAGAAAGCAAAACCAGAGAACAGCTGTGAGTCAAAACCAGCTCATGGTATTCAAACCCATAACAGATTTGATCCTCTAGGATCATGTGCAACCAGTGATACATAGACACTTGTCAATCCTTCATTAGCTTAAGAATCTATATAACAGAGGATGTAAACAAGTGTATCATTATGCAGAAATAATGAAAGGTTGCATCTTTTTCGTCTTTCTCTAAGCCTTGAGCTGAAACCATCTTTTGCTTTCACAAAGAATGCATCAAAACTCAGCTATGATTAAGTTTGGCGAAGCTCTAAAGACTTCTCTTTCGTGAAATCACCTGTCCAAAAGCATCTCTCGCAATCCAAGCACACCCACTATGTAGTCCTATCATTCCTCCAATTGGCATGTACGTTCATTTTCGTTGTGCCGTGTACAGAAGGTTGGCATTGCTCTGACACAAAATGAACGAGAATTCTAATTTGCATGACAAGTTACATCTGTCCACAATCTTGTTTCTTTTTAAGTCTTTTGCGCCAAGACCTCATATAGTTCTTGTTTACCCGCATAGAGAATCACATTATAGATTTTCCAGATATTCCACAACACCCAGGGGATCGATGATCTCGTCTATGCTGATATACTAGTATTTTCTATCAAATCAGGCATGAATATGAGATTGCCCTCACTTGTATAACAAAAACCATTTTGGGGTCTTAATGTTTGCCACATCCATCAATTGTTGAGTCTGATAACAATGAAAACACACATGGCAGATAGTTTCCTCAACGTGTTGACATAATTTGCAAGTATTGTCCACACTTATTCCCTTATACAAAGTATACTAGTGATAGCCAGGACACCCGACATC